GAGCTTCGCTTTTCATGCTAGGGTCTCGTCCGTCGCTCAGAACTTTCCGTGACCAGCAATACCCTTGCCATGCAAGCCATGGCTCTATACTGCCGATTTGCACCATTTTTGAAAAGTGGGCGGGGCTTCTTCAAAGTGGGCGGAGCCTCTCACAGTGGGCGGGGCTTCACGGAGCAGTCCAAAAATGCAAAAATTTTGAAAAAATATCAAAATTCCGCAAAAAGCAAGTGGGCGTGGCCAAGGGGGCGGAGCCTAAATTGCCGGTGCATGAATGCGCGTCTACGAGTACTTTCGTTGTGCGAAGAGTGGATGTGAAATTAAAAATTGAAAAAGTTATGAAATTTCGAAGTTCGCAACAAACCCTTTAAAGAATGGGCGGAGTCGGCCATGTGTTGAAAATCTATGTCCGCGCTGACAAGTAGGCGTGACCGTCGGGGCAGGGTTCGCGGTGGTGTCTGATTGGTTGGTGAACTGCCTGGTCTAAGAAGAGTGGTGAATTTGGTTTGAAAAGTGGTGAATTTGCTTTGAAAAGTGGTGAATTTGGTTTGAAAAGTGGTGAATTTGGTTTGAAAAGTGGTGAATTTAAAGTGAAAATGGTATATATAGAACAGTGCCCATCACCACCGCACTGGTATTGGACGGGATTTTCCATAAAAAGCAACATGCGGAATAACTATGTGTGATCTTCTTTCAAATGGGTCCGGTAACCCAGGGCCATCCACGCATGAGATATGTAGAAGCACTAGTAATTCTGGGATGAAGTGTTCCGAGATACGAATTCTCCCAGTTCTCGCGTATTTCTTGCGAACGCAGATTTTCAGTGTTCGTCTTACTACCGTTTTTAGGAGAAATAGAAATGGTCGATGTGGAAGCCTCTACGCTTGATGCTCTCGTAAATTTCTGCTACTCTGGAAAGATCATGATCACCGAGGATAATTCACTGAGTATTCTGGCCGCAGCCTGCCGTTTTCAGTTGGACAAAGTTCAGGTTTGTAAGACCATAAAACTAATTTGCTGAAACCTCAAGGGCTCAAAGGCACACTCCGCGTTCATTTGTTGCTCAAACGCCCTCTTTGAACATGCTAGTCCTGTTACATGGAGGCGGGGTACGGCGTCGTTGAGGAAATCACGACAGGGGGAGCAGCCCATTTGACGCGAGGGATGAAGAGTTGCCGTAAATGCAGGGCTCATTCAGAAGTATAAATAGCAGTAATGAGATGTCGCACAGTCACTCATTTATATAATGTTTATCCTCTTTTCGTGAACAGCACCTGAAGGGACACCCGATGACCAAGGGAAGCTGCAGCTCATAAGTGGGAAAGATAAAAACAAGATATCCTGTAGGCGCTCAGGACGCTATGAATTAATAAAATATGAAATACAGTATACGCTAGGTGTACCGTAGCACGTCTGCTTGCACGAAGCTAGAAGTTACACCTTTCGAACAGCAAACCATTTCTTAATGATTTCGAAGAGTATTGTGTTCTAGAAAGCTACCTAATCTTCCAAACAAACTGGAAACGGTTATTGCGCCGGAGAAGTGGATTCTTCGCGTCGTTCGAAACTTGTCACAACAAACCAACACAAAGAGTTTTTCAAATATGGGGGGGGGCGTAAAAAAACCCTATAGAAAGAAGGGATGCTTCTTGGGAAGGTTTGTGGTTTCCGATAGTGCATTTGACTTTTGAGAGACCGCATGTGAAGAATGTTGTTGCTGTTTAAATCAAGAAGGCAAGCGGACGCTGAAAGGCCGCAATAGCGTCAGAACAAAGAATTTCCCTTAAGAAGAGCGTGTTTAAAATTGGAGCACACTCAATGGACTATACACCTAGAGCTTCACAACCCTGCTTTCTCTTTTTCAGAAGAGCCTCCACTCCCAAAAAAGATATAGATGTTCAGAAAAGGGTTTGACTTGACTTATTTTGAAAAGCTATCTTGAAACAGTTCGCCTCAGTGCAACTGAGAGAAGGAGTTTTAAACGCTCACGCGCAATCTCTGAATCTGCGCGAAAATTTGGAATTCAAGTGTCCTGTTTGATATCATCTACATCTTTGTCCTTTATTTTCTTTTTTATGAGGGGGGAGGTCGTACGAGAATCGCTCTTGGAGGGAGGTAGGTTAGACTAGCGGAAATTTATCGCAACGCAAATGGCCTGCCTACAGTTAGGATAGTGCGCATGGATCCTTCTTCCTGGATTTGACATGGATCCGAGCTTGATCCATGAAAAGCGCGACCCGTTCACAACGAGTCACGGCACCGCCCAATGACCGTAGCAACGCCCAACCTCCATTTCGAAAGGTATCTTATTGATGTGGTAGTTTCGCTACAAAGTTTTCTCAGTTCCGAGGTAATTAAGACGAAGAGCTAGCACCGCAAGGAGAATTCGTCGGACCACGCCCTCTTTTCGCCTTCGCCACGCATAAGCTCGGCCTGGAATGGGTACCATACGGGGCATTAGCCAGTTCTTCCACTTCTTTTTCTACATCTTGTTTTTACTTATTTTGCCATTAGCCATTCTCGTACCTCACAGCTCTCCATTTTTGAAGGCGAGGCGTGCTTTCAAAGTTTCAGGGCTTACAATGATACAATTTTTATTTAAGGGACTCTGCTGCGAGTTTCTGAAGGAGAATTTGGGCCTATCGAACTGCCTTGAAATTCACGCGACTGCTGATGCTCACTCTTGTCAGGAGCTCTTTCTTTGCGCTGAGATGTACATCGTCCAGAATTTCCAGGTTTTCTTTTTCACTTTAGAATGTAAGTAGTTGCTGAATTTCGAGTAATGATTGCCCTTTACTTTTCTAGAAAGTTGCTGAGAGTGAGAATTTCAACCAGCTTTCTTTCGATCGACTAGTCAAACTAATTTCAAGAGAAGAGCTGAATGTTCAATCAGAAGAACAGGTACGTCGATCTCCGGGAAGGATATCAAACTT